GAGGGCTGGGTCGGATTTAGGCTGGTGAAGGTACCGGGCAGGGGTGGTAGTGATAAGTGAAGGGGTTCCCACGGTACCCGAGGTGAAAGTGAAGCACTAATGACACCATGACCATCTCTTACCCAACATGCAAATACTAACCACCGCCCTCCGACAATAAACGTCAACGGCATACCATCCCGGCCGTGGCTCGCCTGACGTCTTCCCATGGTTATTTATTCCAACGGTTGAACCTTTTGAATCCGCCCATTGTCGTCCTAAATGGAGCTGTAAGGCTTCTATGGGCAAAAATGGAGACTGTACTCCGTTAGAAAGGGCGTTACTCACTACTTCATTGCTATATTCTTACAACTTGTGATTCGCGAATGACTTATTGTTTAATTCATTGGATAATGTCTATAAGAAATTTTAAAAAAAACTGTTTATAACATTTTTCACACTACCTTTCTGGTGCAGAAGGCCCTGTGGCCGACTTTTTTACCGTTTTTTTCTATTTCTCCCAAAATGGCAGTACAATTTCGTCCTAAGAAACAATTGTGAAACCGAGCCATTACTTATGTTGCAAAGAAAAGACTATCGTTTTAAATTATTTTTATTTTTCATAATCAAAGCAGGTGAAGAAAGATAGTAAAATATTAAAACGTTTTGTGAAGCATTTCAAGAATTTGACGGTAACAAATGTATTCGCCCCTGCGCCGAGAGCGATCTCCTTTAAAAATGCAAATGAATGAATAACGCCGAAGGGCATCAAGTGATATTTCTTCGTCGGATTCCGCCGCACAATTTTCGGCCGGGACTTTGGATTGTTTAAGGTTTAAGAGATTTTAAAAAAAATCGGACGTCTCGAGCGGGTCAGGGATTATTTAGACACCCGTTTCGCCCCTTTCCTCGTTTGTTTTAGAAAAACCAACCGGTTTCGGTAAGTAAAGAAAAAAACGTTCAGCCTGTCCGATAAATTATGAGCCGGGTTTTTCGTCAATAAACAAAATATGAGCAGTTTGCGTCACTCATTTTCATACCGATTTTAAAATATATATGCATATTTACATGTTTTTTTGTCAGGTATGTGTCTAAATCTATGTAAACCCGTCTGCCGCCACTTTTCGTAAGTTAGAACAATTATGCTTTTTCCTGAACACGATCTGAAATCTGCATATGCGCCACTCGACAGAACTATGGTGCCATAGATCAAAAACATCAATTTGCTATTCCCATTTGTGTTCCCCTGATTCTACAAAATTAAGCTCATTTGTGTGGTGATTAATGACCGTTAATTGAGATCAATAAAGGCTCAAAGTGTTTGTTTTCTGTGTAATTGTGCCGTTCTTGCGACTCTCAACACGACACGCAAGAATGGCACAATTACACAGAAGACAAACACTTTGAGCCCTGAAGTTGATCTCATTAAAGATCGAAACGTTGGCACGATACAGAAAATGTTTTTCAACCTACATCACACCAGACCGCATCTCACGATTTCTAAATAATTAAGCTCATTACTCATCAACTGTCAAAATGATCCGCTCCTCTCACTCACTCTCTCTCTCTCTCTCTCTCTCTCTCTCTCTCTCTCTCTCTCTCCCTCCCTCGCTCCCCCCCTCTCCCTCCCTCTCTCTCTCTCTCNCTCTCTCTCTCTCTCTCTCTCTCTCTCTCTCTCTCTCTCTCTCTCTCTCTCTCTCTCTCTCTGTCTACTTTTAACCTTTCTACCTGTTTTTCTATCTCTATCTGTCTAAGTACGCGCGTACACAAACTTTCACTTATTCACTAACTCTAATAAGTAAGGTGAGACATATTTCCTTTGCTAAGTGAGGTCATCATTGATCGTTCGTGCTAGTAGCCACTTCCTAGACTTGAAGGTTGTTACTGATGTACCATGTTTTTAAACATTTCCATTCGTTTTATATGGTTGACATCGATAAGGTTACATTGAACATATGACAGTTAGGAAGATGGAACTTTTGGGGGGTTAACGAAGTTGCTTAACAAAAATTTAACTTGAGGAATGTGTATTTTCGACCTGTGGAGAACTTCCGACATTGGGATTGTCAAGCCAGTATTAAATTGGGCAAAAGTGGTATTTACGAGTAGACTTAGATCGTCTGTACTTTGAAATGCGAGGCTTGTTGTTTTGAGTAATGTGATTTGTACTAAAATAGATTCTATTGTTAAAGAAAAAAACGTGCTTTTGTTAAGATAGTTTCACTTTTCAAAGAAAACTAATAGCCAGGCAACTCGAGGGTGTTGGTCCAGCTTTAAAGGGAGAAAAGGGCCCAGGAAGTATGTAAAAACTGTATATGTTTATTCGACATAATTATCGCAAAAGAATTCTTAAGAAATGGCAAAACGTTACAGTTTCAGTTGAACACCTCTTCCCTTCCTAATAGGAGTTGAGCTCTGTCAGAGAAACATTACATGTAGGCAATTTGTGTGACTCACTCCAGCCAACACTGACCACCTTTCTAATCTAAATAATTTCATTTAAATTAGAATTCTGTTTTACCACTCTTCAAGCTGGGCGCGAGGCTGTTCTTTAGCCCTTGGAGTAGAGATGTAAATTCGTACAACTCGGATTGAGTTACAAACGCACTAACTGGAATTACTTCGTTATTAAAATCAATTTTACTTCCCCCATATTTTGTACAATTTTGTAAAATATTAAATATTATTATTCTTTTTCTAAGTTTTAATAAAAACAACTTCATTTTCACGGCCTATTCGCTTTATTTTTCCTACAGCTACGCTTGATGTCAGTAGATAGCTTTTGTAGTACATCTAAGGACTTTTAGTATGGTTAGAGGCTATTTCGCTAGGCAAACGAGGCAGTAGTGATAGTCCTGTCTGTTTGAAATTCTGGCCAAACAAGGTGTTCCGTAATAATCTAACAACACTAATCTGCTCCTATGGGTTTTACTGCTGAAAGTCGCTTGTCTTCGATAAAACAGATAAATACAATATTTCGTTTTGTTTTCGATCACTAACGTTTTCTTAGTAATCAGTGAAGTACTGTTTAGGTATGACATTTTGATTTTCAAAGGAGTACTGCAACGTCTGCAAAAAGTAGTTGTAGCAATGTCTGTTGGAAAGTCATGCAAAAAGATACTAGTAGATGACTATGGGTTTTATTACTTATAGCCGATTTTGACTGAAAAGATTCGGAAATGCACTTGAGGCTGTAATGGAGTCCGAAAGGGTTGGGCTTTTTTATTTAGTTAGGACGCTTCATCTGTACTGTCAAAAGCTTGTTCTGCCTTTTAAGCATATCTAAGATCACATCCGTTAACAAAATATCGGTGAAGTTCGTAATTAGAGATTTATGAGTTTACCTTCAAATGCCAAAGTTTACTCCAGTTTCATATTTCATACGTTAAAGTTTAAATGAGTAGAATATTTTGCTTCGAAAAACAAAGCTGTATCTTCTGCCAACTGGGAAGTAGTTATAGAAATGGCTGTTTAAAACTTTTTAAAAAAAAAGTGGCCTGGCAACTCAACACAGAGGATGCTTGGTCAAACTTCACCAATCAGTAGGGTAGTAGAGAGCATTCAAAATTTTCACCCAATGAAATGAGGCTGGTGTCTCGTTGGAATGATAGCTTTTGATCTAGTCGAAATAAAAATTGAAAAGTGCAACGTTTTTGCTGTTATAAACTGGGCAAGTTGAAATATATAACCTAGTAAAAGAGGAGTCACGTCGAGAATGCGATTTCTTACGTAGCCATTTTTGCGACATGGCTTTTGCCCGTAGTTTTATTTCTCTCTGCAATTACAACTGGCTGCTGCGAATTCTGAGCGATGATTTGCGGCGGATGAATTCACTTTACCGCCGGGGAATATTTTCATGTACGTGAAAGGAATTTTTTTATTCCTAGAAAAATCGGGGCGAAATCCAGGCAGAAAGGTCGGTGGAGTCAATTAAATTACCAGTTGACGAAACGGCGCACAAACCAAATTGGCCAATTATTTCAAAATCGTATTTTACACATTACAGACTAGGGGGTTGAGTAAAGTAAAGTAATTCCTGTCGTACATGAGAGCTTTAAATCCAACTACCGTTGGGTGGAGTTGTAAAAGGGTCAGACCACTTTACAATTTTTTTTTTTTTTGAAACATGAAAACTAGGTAGTGAAAATAACTTCTCTGGAATAAAAAGTTTGCAATCCCACTCTAGCTGCTTACTCTTCAATATTATTTGATATTAATTAACCTAACAACCAATGTAAAAATGCGTGAGATAAAGTTTAATTTTACTATATTTTATCCGATAAAATTTTATAAAATATAATTTCAATTAATTATCCTTTTTATCTAAGGTGTTGGTTCAAATGACAAGGAATAATTAATTGAAATAATTAATATAGTGAATTATGACCGTTAAACATATATGGATTAATAAAAAATATAAATAAAGATATAAATAAACGATCTTTAGAGTCGTCTTTAGTCGTAGTTTTCTGGTCACTTTGGTCTGTTTATACAGCTGTTTTGGTCAGTCAGACCCGTTTTGCAAACTACACTGATTGGTCTGTGTCGTGCTTATGTCCTACTTGTTGGAACTCCGCAAGCACACCAAAATGGGCAGACCAAAATGATGCCTTTTTTTTTTTTTTTTTTTTTTTTTTTTTGTTATCGGGAAAAAAGGGCCAGAGGCGACGGTGGGAATCGAACCCACGACCGCGGCGTGAGAGTCTCTCATGCTAACCACTGGGCTACCGCGGTCCCCTATGCCTTAGATCTAAGAATAAATCGCATTTTGTATTCCAGAATATAATTTAAATTTCTGTAGTTTGATTAAACTTTTTAAACTTACTAAAAGTTAATTAATGTCTAATAAAACCTACGAAAGCAAAATGTTCCATTTTCACACGAAGAATAGTAGATTTTCTTGAAATTAAATAATTACTGTTGCTGACGTAATTGCTGCAAAATGATTTCAGTGTTTGTAAAATTTAACAACCAGTTTTTTTCCCAATTTTGCACAAGTTAAAAATTTTTCTTTTTTACAGGATGAGACGGTGGGGAAGAGATGGGGCGGTGGCGGCGAAACAAGCCACGAGATTGATCTCCATCCTGCAACGAGGGAGGTGAGTGCCGATAAACTTTCTTTTGTATAAATCCCATTATTAAAAAACAAATCAATATCAAAACTAATCAACATATCCAAAATTAAACGGACCATATGTCTTACATAATGGAAAAAAGAAAGGGTTAAATTTCGAATTCACTAATTTTCAGAAAGTAGGCCGTTTTAAATATTAATTACAAGTAAAATATAAAAGAAAAGAAAATTTAATCTATTTTCCTAGAATTTAACATCATATTTTTATTTAAAAGTTCTAATAGACGAAAATTATCAATAACAAACTGGAAGCAAATTCCAAAATACAGTGAATGTACGGGATGTATTACGGATCATCGCTTGTATTTTACTCTGTTTATTGTGAAAAACAAAAATCTGCCAAAAGCTATATTTACTCTCATAAAAACAAATGATGGTTCTGTAAAATTTTGTTTTCCCAATTAGTTGTTCATTTGTGTCTAAAGCGCGAGTAGAAACATACTTTCTTTTGAATGAACCTAATTATTTATGTTATTTACACATCAAACCTTATTAAAACATCAAAAGAGAATAGAAATAAATAATTCTGAGTTAATTTTTGGATTTAGCTTTGAACTTATCAAATTACAGACCTAATTATCGATTTTAAACTGTAAATCCTTCTTGGAATTTAGATTTCTTTTTAACGTTATTTACAATTTGTACGATAAAAATATTAATTTTGATGGAGTGATTTAATTTTTTTTTTCAATTTATTCTTCATATAGGACAGCCTGTCCTTTACAGAGGGAGTCCATAAGTCCAGGCTTATGCATATAATATTTGCAATATTAGATAAGGAGCAAAAAATTACGAAGCAATGAAAAAGGAGGAAAAAAGAAAAATCCAAATAATACCAAAAGAAGCAAATAAAAACAAATAAATTTAACATTACAATAAACTTAAAGTAAAAGAACTTAGTTACATTTTTCCTCCGAAATGATAAAATGCTTTAATTTTAGTGAACTATAAATAACCATAAATAAAACGTAAATAAATTATTGATTTCTTCTTTATTTTGGGGGGGGGGGATATTTTAACAAAGGAATATTTAGGGGGAGGTTTTTGCGCATGATTGATACCACCACAACTAGACATATCGGAGTGTACTGAAGTTGGAATTTGAATACGTTTTGAACTTTTTTTTAACAAAAACATTTCTTTTAAAATATAAAAACTCATGCATAAGCAAAACCACCTGGTATGAGGTAAGCTAAAAGATTTAAACAGCTTTAAGTCATATCTCTCAACAAGAAAAAGGTTCTCCTCTCTCTCTCAGCAGGGACGATTTAAGGAAAAATAAGCTCTATAGTAGCCACAACCCTTTTAACTACCACCGCAAAAAAGAGGGGCGATGCAAAGTCAGAAACCCACTCTGTCAAGAGAAACCGTCGGCACATATCCTTCATGATCTGAGGTATAAGTTTCAGGAAGGCAATTCTTACACCAAGAAGTCGTGAGGTACCGAGAATGATTCGTTTTGAGGAAGAAAGCATACTTTCCACAGTGTGGACATAATCATAATACATAGGTCGTACTGGAGAACATTTCATAATTCCTACTATAAACACACCTCCCCCAAAGAAATAATACCTATATTTCAGGAGAAAATGGTGTAGGATTTTTTTTTCCAACAAAAACCATGAAGAAAATCCGGTAATAAAGCCATTTTGCTGCATCGCAAGGTATTTTTCTTTGATTATTTTGAATAAAAAGCTTATATCTAAAAAAGCTCTTATAATTTACTGTTGAACTTGTTTTTTTTATATAGATTATCGTTTATAAAAATGGAAAATTTACTTTTTTGCAGATACTATTTTTCTTTTCAAGTCATAAGATTGAGAACGGATTTAGGCAATAACATCGACTAATGTAAGGAGCTGGACACGCGCCTCAATCAAATGGACGATAAAAATCTAATAAAGTTGAGGAAAAAAACAGAGAAACACATGAAACCTTGGCTTTGAGTCCCATTCGAGATTTTATTGCTATTGGGAAAAAAGATCAACTTGAGTTATAACTAATCGGTTTACGAAGAAAATTTTTTATTAAATTGTGTTTAGTATTTTTTTTATTTCACTTGAATTTAATCAGTTGTAACAATACAAGAAAAATTTCAAAATGTTACTATCATCATGGCAGTCCCTTTTGTTGAATAATGTCATATGTTTACCTTGAACCCTGATCATTCTTTTGATTTCCAGCTTGAAAATGTTACCCGAGCAGTTATCTCAGTCTTATCGTTGGCAAATAAAGTAACACATGTTGAGATAATGTCATTTTTCCATTTGTCCGCTGGACTTTTGTCCATTGTTTTTAAGAAAATCGAAGCATTCTCAAATCTTAACAAAAAGAAAATTTTTCAAAAATCTCACTTTGAATTGATAAGGAATCCATTGTCTTATTTGTAATATGTATTGTTCAAAAATAAATTATATTTTGCATATCATCTAGTTACTTCGTGCTTTTACCGTACAAGTCACAAATTAAATAATTCTATGTTTTTAATTTAATTTTCTTGCCATGTAAAATCTATCCAAGGTGTGTTTTAAACAACATGGATTTATTAACTATTTATTGTCGGGAAAATGAAAATGACACAGTGGCATACTGTGAAGATGTGAGTGACATTCGAGGGCGCGCCTCTTGTAAAATAAGAGCTGACAAGATCCCCTTGTTCGATCTCGCTCTCCTTATCTCGATTGGGCCTTTTCAAGATCACGTTACGTAATCTTTGCTTTGACGATTGTAGCCTGAGACAACTTTGAAAAACCCAGGCGAATACTCGTACCCTTATCACAAACAAGTTTCATATTAACTTGCACAGTGCATCGAGAATTTGAGAGCTTTCGAGTGGGTACTTCACATTTCAGTTGACGGCAGTTCGACAAAGTTGTGAATTTTCCAAATATTGTATTTGTACATGTATTCAACACAGTTTTATGTTGAATAAAATTTTATTCCTATAAAACAACAAGTGCAGTAAAACTAATTATATGATAAAACTTAATCAATATTTTTCTTTTATCTCGATTTTTTTTAAATTTTCTAACGAAAGTATTTCAATTACGAGGTTATATAAACTTGGGGTGCCGGTTTTTGAAAAAAAAGCCAAATTGTAAATATGTCCAGTGGCCCTGAATTCGAACCCGGGTCCTTTACCTTACAGTGATGAGCGTCGTGTCAACGCCATAGTTGCGGCCAACAACGCCACCCTGAGATTTTATTGAAACACTTTTTCATTATTAAACATAATTAATATATTATTATTAGGTTTTTTCATGTTGCATCGATGACTCGCATGGCTAAAATGGAATTATTAATAAATATTAATTATTATTATATTTCAGTCATTTGCAAATATGAATCAATAAAACTTCATTTTTTAAAATAAAATTTTTTTCTATAAAAAGTTCATAGTATGCTTAAAGCAGCTAACTCTTTAAATGTGTAATCATTTAAGTCAATGGATAAATGATTTTTTTTAATCCTTATTTACTCTTCTTGGGGGATTATTATTACCGAGTTATCTTCAACCTGAGCCGACAAGAAATTTCCTTTTGACTCATGGTAAAAAAAAACTAGTTTCATCCATTGGCCAACTAGTATAGATAGGATTCTCCTTTAGACCACCATCGTCTTTCATATAAATATTTTTCACCTTAGCAGCTACATTCCATTAACCAATCCACCTATATTTTGAAACACCCTTCACCAACGAACTATAAAGATTTTTCGAAATAAAAAAAACGACATATTCGGAGTTATTACTTTTTCAATGGATTCGTCATGCCTTGTGCTAGTTTTATAACGCAATTTAAAAAGTAAACGTCAAATAACTGTTTAAAATACGATAGAAACAATTTTTGAAATATTTCTTTGAATTGTGTAAGACACATACAAAAGTAAAGTAAAATAATCCCTATTGTACAGGAGGGTTTAAAATCGAACTCCAGGTAGTATGTTGGGAACGATGGGTCAGACCATTTTACAATACCTTTTTCATACCATCATCAATTAAAAAGCCACGAGGTCTGCCGGGATTCGAACCCAAAATCGCTAGCGTGGCAAATACAAGTCGGACACCCAAACCACTCGGCCTCCGCGGTCCCTGGTTTGGTCATACCTCCGGTTAACCCATGGGCACCGGCAAAAGACCGAAGGGTGCCCACTATGTGGGGAAAGTGTCACTACAAAACGTAATACCTGATTGCAAAGTACTAAAAGAATACCGGAAAAAGGCAATACCTCCCCAGACGACAGAAAAACATTAGGCCCTAACAGTGACGAATACTTGAAGTTAATGCACGTTTGCGATTGCATGTAGGAACCTCTTATTCTGTATTTTTTGGCATAAAAGTTTGAGTGTCTGCGTGGGCGCATCTGAGTTGGAATATCGAGTACCTCACCAACTCGACAAAGTCAAAATCTAGGTACTAGTATGTTTGTAGAATGAAAGGGATAGGGCACTGGTGTAGTACAAAAAAGCCGGTGACTACCTATGTGCGAATGTGTTTATAGGCTATTGTGTGCGTGTGTATGTGTGTGTGTGTGTGTGTGTGTGTGTGTGTGTGTGTGTACGTGTGTGGCAGAATACAGAGTGCCCCAGGGATCTGTCAATTTAGGTAAGCTAATTAGTATGTATGAATGAACGCAGTGTGATCCCCGTCGGCTACACAACTTTTGTTTGTACATATGTCTAAAAAGATTCTTGTCTGTATGAATGTATTTATTAGCGTGAATGATGGGAGAACGTCTCGTGGATATGAAATCCTTCCCGCTTCCCAACTGTTGTTTTGTAAATAATATAGTGTATATTTTGCATTAGTTTTAGAGATTAAGCCATTTTTTCAACATGAATGTGTAAAGGTAGTCAACAGCTGTTGAACTGTAGGTTAAAGATTTTTTAATCCTTCTATTTAGATAATATATTCTTTTTCAAATCAAATACTATTAAAAAAATCATAAATTGTACTACTAGGACAT